GGCAAGATGAGGCCAAAGTGAGCATATTTATATACAAAATTGACAACAGCTGCTTGGTTCATTCATGAGGGTATACAGGCCATGCCACACGACGAATACAAAAAGCCAGAACATTTTAACTAACTGTAATTTCCCTTAGACTCAGGTCTCAAATGCAACCAGCTTGAATGACTCCAAAAACTCAGGCACAAGTATTTAATTATCAAAATATTTAGTCTTCTATCGCAGACTGCAGGTTTAACTTATTCATGTTGACGGGAATTCGTGCAGACACGCATGCAATGTGTACGCTGAATCATCGTGCAGGACTGGTGGTATGCCAACGTCAATCCAACTGCCTTCAAACATTGTCATTTTTTTCCAATGTACTTGAAACTACATTTGCATCCAGCTTATCGAAGTTGAAATGAACAATCTGGAGTCTTCTGTAAATTCATACGGTGGCAACACACCGAGGCAGGAGTTCGTAAGTGCAACAGTCAGTTGAACCACCAGTGTGTGGGGTCGAGTGCTCAGCGACCAATCACCACAGCAACTATCACGGCATTTTCATTTATGCATCCTCCTTTCTCATTGGCATGAGTCAAGTAGTGGTAAATGCGGTAACAGCAAGCACTGTCATGCACACACACCCACTCATATTAGTAGAAAAATGTTTCACATGCTTGCGAAATTGTGTTCAAGTGTGAAGTCTTGTGATTTAAACATGATTCGTGATTCGAAATATCGGTTGATATTCTACGGTCGGTAGGTTTTCAAACTGTTAGTCATAGGTGCAGAAACGCTACGTTTACACTGGAACAAGTCGCGTTACATTGCACTCCTGATATCTTGGCTAATGCCCAATGTTTGTACCACGTGTTCTGCTTCGCCTAAGATTCCAAAACGAATATGCACGATTATAGGCACCATTGGCTAAAGGACCATATGACAGTAGTCAATCGATAGTGGCAGTGGTGCGTATTTAAGTCTCAAATTCATGCTTCGATGCTCATTCTCTAAAGCCTGCGATATGTGGACTACAGTGTGCCCATGACCCATTTGCCCAGTAGACTTTCTCTGTGATGCCTGACAATATCTGTTACGAGTAACTCTAGTCAAGGGTCCCATTATGTGGTCTTTAACGGCGCCTGCGCGGCTGCGTTAGATCTCGCCTGATTACGCCACCCAGATATCTGAAGAGAAGACAAAGAGGATTGACAAAGGCGTGTCACAAAGCTTTACTAGATGGCTCAGCTAATTTGAGTTGACATGTTTGAGTTTTAAAGCCAGTGCATGACAGATACAGTCTGGGTAGACTAGTTAAAGAAGAATAGTCCAAATTTTTAGTAATTCTAAGCGGGAGGACGCAAGTGTCCAGACATCAGTACTGTTCTGCAGGAATTGATCTCGCCCAAGTTAGGAGTTGTCAAGTTAACCCTCCTGTGTATTTGTTAATGATTAGGTAGCATTTAGTTTGGTGAAGAAGGATGCAGAACTGATTGACTTTCTGACCTTGCTTTGCAGCACAGTTACGCCAAAACAATTGACTAACTACATCATTTTATTTGTCACTAGGTCCGCAGAATCCTTTTATGCATACCACCAAACGTACTATTTGTCTACTGAATGCTTCTTTGTTTCACTTGCATATTCTCAAGAGCCATCCCATATATTTACAATTGGATGCAGTCTGTGGGGAATGCCTGTTCACATTTCGATTGATGCCATCCTGTCGTCGTGGGCAAAAATTCGATGATTCACACTCCTAGCCATGTCCCTAGTGTCATTTGGCGCAATCATTCAGCGTAATGATTTGAGTTGATTCAGCTGCCTACAAGGAATCACACATGTAAACCAGTAAACTGTAATTGATAAATTATTTCTAAGACAACGAGCCGACTGTTGCAAGTAGGCACTAGATCATCGTGCTACAAGTACATAAGCGGTCAATTCAGAGAATCAGGTTCTCCCTCTGTGAGCGATTCTCGAAATGTCTGAGCGATTGACAGTTCAATGCCTTCTGTTCGGCATCTCGTAATGCTGTCTTAGACGATTATGATAAAATCTTTTTAATTTTGAATGGTTTTTTATTAGTCCATGGTGTCCTTCCGTGCCTTCAATAGCTCAGGGTATAAATAACAATATCTTCTTGCCTGTTAACAAACAAACCTAGAAGCAAGACAAGGAAAGGCAGTATGCGTTCACTGGTTGAGTTCAATCCAAACTGCCACTTGGCAGAACAAAAGAGAAAGAGGGGTGATCTCGTTTCCTTGTGTGACAATTCAAGCCCTCTTGCCTGACCATACGTTTGCTGCTTAAACGATTGCCTGCATTGCAAAAGGTAACTGTACCAACACATTAAAGCTAGATCGATTACGCTAATCTGATACCCGCACAGAAGCTAAGGAACAGAGACGACGAAGCACTATCATTGAGAAGGTGGCTCAACAAAGTTGTACATGTCAGTTACGTGTGTATTAAATTTAGTCGCTGACCGGTAAAGTCTGGGTGGAATACTGCAAATGATAGAAGATACCTTGTGCATGACTTGTGATTTGCACACCCACGCGGCACATTTTTTTTCTTTTCGTTGGGTTGGCTTTGAATGTGCCACTTGGCGTGTCTGCTTTGTCGTAGTCACACGACCACACAGAAAAACACCCCATATGGCAATTACCAGTGCGGCACAAAACTAAAACTTTGTCTGTGGCTTTAGAGAACACTTAGATTTTTTAATGATAAGAGGAAACTGAGTTTGGGATATCATTAGAATGCTCGCCGTTTAAGCTACTGTGATACCCGAACAGACGGCGCAGTCCACAGACAGCGATGCACCATCAATTACTAGATATCTCAACCAAGTCGTGCATGTCTAATGCGTGCGTATTAAAGTCAGTGGCTGACTGGTGCAGTCTGGGTGGATTTGCAAGAGTGCAAACGTGGGAATGGTCAGTTGGTAGTGGTACAGCCACGACAAGAAAATGGGACAGGTGAAATATCCTGTAATTATTCCCTCACGCAATGTCCGTGTACATCTTTTCTTGCTAAGTTTTTAAATTACCCCAATGATGGCAACGCCGGCTGCAAAGCTCTACCAACAGATTCAGTGATATCGTCAATGCAAAAATCAATGACCTTCTCCCCGTCATTGAGTTCATAAGCAAGTTGCCGATTCCATTCCGTAACAACCAGCAAGTTGCCGATTCCATTCCGTGACTAACCTGCAATTTGAGCACACCTCAATGATATTCCACTATTAGCAGTTTACTCGTCAAGGTGTCTATAAAGCTACACCACCATCACTGTTCACTGATTGGTGAGGAAAGCTCCAGCATTAGTAAAGAAAATGTGCTCCGGCTTTCAATTTTAAGTGTCATAGTTGCCGTCAACAGCTTAGCACAGTTATCTTCCCGCTGGGACCTCAGTCCAAACCACTACACAAATGATGCTGATTAACAAGTATAGTCATGATTAATACCGAAATACGTCAGCTTTCAAATATATAAACGTAGACAAAAAACGAGTAACTAGATGTGATATCGTGAACACAAGCGTTCGGCGTAAATGGTTGGATCAAATGTCCTCCTGTCATAGGAGCCTGATTTCATTTCAGCTTTGACTCGTCGGAAGTACCACCGCTCCATCTCATCGTAAGCCTCTGGTTGGTAGTCAGCATGGAACTTGTTGGCGGAAATGTGTGGCACAGTCTGCAACAACGCCACATGATCCGTTCCAAGGATGCAGACATCCCTAACGTATTTAGTAGTACAATTTATACTGCAGCCTTCCCAAATGACAAACTTGGCCAAGTAGTTAAAGCCTACTTCAGATTCGGGTGCTGGGCTATGCAGACAAGCTCCAGGCAGGCGAAGGCGGCTGTTGTAAGCGAGAGTTGGGAAAAAGAACTCGTCGGGATGCATGATATATTTCGGCTTGAGCATGAGGTCACGAATGGGACCGACAGCTATTCCCATGACTACTTCGTGCAGAAATTCCCTTTGGAAGGCACCATAGATTGAGCCTTTGTACCATGTTGCCTACAACATGAAACGTTAGCTTAGCTATGTGGCTGAGAATGCAAGCATCACATACCTCAGTGTGAATGCAACTGTGGTCTTGCACCCCACTGGGCTATCACATTCACGCCAAGCGCCTCGAATTATTAGTTAAGCACCGTTGTCAGTAGCATGCTTTCTTGCCAAATATAATCAACGGCGTAAGTCGCTTGCGTTTACCCACCAAACAAGGAAGATTTACAAATATCTAGACTATCTACACGCGCTTCTACCGATTTCAACTATCTTCCCTGGAACATGTGAACTACGGGTATTGTTACTTTTTTGAAAATTGATCACTGCACTTAGTAATTAAACAGGTAGCTTGCGGCGAGTGAAGTTGGCAAGTGACAATATAAGAACTCGCCGCAGATTTGTGTGGCATGTTTTCTATGTTTTCTAAGTTTTTCTTTTTCTATGGCATGTTTTGATAATTTAAGAAGTCACGTTAATCTAGGAAACTCACGTTTTACTCTGTGCTTGTCTGTTAAATGTCAAGCAGTGTAATTTCATGGAGAGAGGATAGCACGCCAAACGCACTAGCTAGCTACTCACCCCCAATGGCAGCGACTTGTTATTTGCTCGCCACGCAAATCTACCCATTTTGACAGATTCAACGAGATTGGATCCATTGAGTGCCTTCAGTGCAGCCACCAGCTCCATGTTGGTTCGCAGTGGAA